TGCATTTGCTCACGTCAGCAGCGTACACCCATGGGCAAATGGGGGACGCTAAATTGACCAATCAGAGCGCGTGCTTTACTTTGGTTATGTTATAAAATTCTTTAGTGTCCTTTCTTTCTCTCCTTCTTCTTCGTCGTCGCCGATTCAGTTATCCTTGCTCTTAGAGTTTCTTGTCTTTCCCCCATCCCCCCCCTCACCAATACCATAAGGTTCTTTCTCTCTGCCACTACGGACTCATTCGTCCTTCCCCTCGAAGTTCTTTATTCCCACCTGCCCAGTCCCTCGGGTTCTTTTTCTCTCTCTCTTCCCCTTCGGTGCTGAAATATTCCGTCCACTGTCCCCTATGCCCCTCCTATTTCAGCTTTACCGTAGCTTAAAAAGATTAATTTAACCAGCCACGTTTTGTAAATTCTTCTATAACGTGTTTATTATAAACACAACCTTTTCGAATTAAGACTATTCTTATTGCTTACAATGAAAGTAGAGTTACATTGTAGGACAGGAAAATATCTTTCTTGGAGAGTATCTTGTGACAGACGCCTTGATAAAATATGTAACTCTTTCACGGTAGATTCTGCGAAATATCAACGCAAAACTGTACACTTCCACTCCACTCTTTGATAACAACAAATAAAAGCTAGGACCTGCCGTAATAAGTTATTTTAATACTTTCACAAATCACTCCTGTTTAAATATTCTAAGGTCTGGTGAAAAATCAGACAACAGTTTAACTGAGTTACTTGAGAGGGAAGCGTAAGAAAAAGCAGTGCACGTGAGGCGTGATTCCTGCCACAAAAGCACGAAAAAGCAGTGCACGTGAGGCGTGAATCCTGCCACAAACGCGCGGCACGTGATTGTGGGGAAGACCGCGCTCAGAAAGCTTCTTCAGCAGCGGAATGAGGAGAACAGGTAAATTAGGAATTCCGTGACAGATGGCTTGAATACCTATTGATCATTCCAACAGCTGCTACAAAGCGAGTAAGTGAAGGAAATAGCAACCAAAAAGAAATCGTAAATGATTGATCATCTAACCCTTAAGATCTGATTGTTACTTCTCCCCTCCGGCCACGGCACACTTCCTTGTAAATCAGTAATGACAATTTGGTGTTACTTAAGTTCTTAATAACTGAGCGGGAGGTCTGTATGGGAGAATCTTGACCGAGGTCGCCAGTTCAGACCGAACGCAGTGAGGTCTGTACCAGCGACCGAGGTCAAGATTCTCCCATAAAGACCGACCTAGCTCGGTTAATAAGATGTTTATTATATGGCTGTTGTACCTTTTTTTTTTCTAGACCGATCTAGATGAGAAAATCTAGACCGCTTTCAATATTGATTTCAGCCAATCAAATTCGTGAATTCGGTAGTTCCCAGTCCTTGTGAGACACAGCCATATACAATAAATAGAGATGACTTCTACCTGATAAGTTTGAGTATTCCCTTACTTGTTTGCTACATAATATAAGGACATTACGAAGTTACTCTCTTAATCACATAGAGTTAAGGGTTTTTCTGAGGTCAACCCTAACGACCCCATTTCTAACCGTAACTAGACAAAAACTGGAGAAAATGACCGGAGATGAAATACAAACTGACAGAAATATAAAAAAAAACGAGAAAAATTCAGGGGCATAACTCCTTTTATAGAACTGCTTTCAGCAGCTCGGTTCAATCCTCAGAATCTATATCCGCGTTTATCTAGCGTAAGTAAACATTACTTCGTCTTAAAGCCCTGCTCCAAATGTCCTCGGTTATATGACGCGCACAATACCTTGTCACGCATAACATCGTTGCGTGACAACGAAAATAACACCTGCGATGGTAACTAAGAGGAGGCAACATCACCGAGCAAACAATCTCACTGAACTCGAATTTAACGTAAAATATTTTTCTTGCCGTATCAAAATGTGCCTGTTTTTTTCTCAAACGCCTTACGAAGTGCACACCCAATGACGATGCTGCCTTCAAGGCGTGCATTTTTCCACTTCATTTCCCACTTAACTTTCGTTAATTTTCTTCGCCAAGCCCTCATTAATCAAGACATCAGCGATAAGCACGTCTTCATTCCCTTCTGAAGTGTCAAAAAGTTCAAGTGAAACTTTGGTTTCTTCGTTTGTCAACCGGCTGTGACTGGCCACGCCTCTGGGTTTTGCCACTAACTTCTTGTCAGTGGTCAACTCTCCAAACCGGTCGATTGCCTCTTGTGACCATTGTGCTAGGTCCTCTCCCACTGGTTCCACTCCTAGACAAGTAAAATAAACGGCAAAATCATACCCAGACGCTTAGCGCTCCTCTCCATATGTTCTCGCAGACGAAAAGTATTCGAAGCGTTGAAAGCTTTTAACAAAATCCTCCAGCTCTATAGGTATATTTGAGGAGTCGCGGTGCTTCGAACCACATCCATATTCTAAAGGCTAAGGAAGACCATAGGATATTTTTTGTTTAAGTAAAAATACACCGAGGTGCATTTTAAAAGAGCTTAGGAACCGGTAGCCTAGCTCCCAAACTTCTCCCAGCCGAAAGTCGCTTACAGTGTTTGGTAAAAGCCTACTGGGAAGGCGAGAGAGATTCCGAGCAACCTGTGCAGTTGCTGGGCAACAAAACTGACGACGCGATTTACATCCTATAGAAATTTTCTTTCTCGAATGCATCTCTTCGCCAACTCCGCCGGGAGCTTTGAATATTCAGTTATGTTGGTTTTGGTTAGAGAAAGACGGGGAAGCACAAGTGAGTTTACCATGTAAACAAGGATCTCAGGCTGGCCATATGAAATTGTAGTCATTTACATACCGTGCAGGCAGCCTTCAACAGCCATTGGCGGAAGCTCTCTGAACTCGTCCGGTAAAGCTTGTAAATTGGCCGATGGCACAAGACCAAAGTCTCCATAATCCGCAAAACGCACACAAGTCTAGCAACAAGAATGAATAAACAAACAATGTTTAGATTAATGCAGGTGTACAGAAGGGCAAGAGATCACTGAGGCTCGAAGGGATATGGACACGGGGGCATGGGAGGGAAAGATGGCTAGGGGGACTGGAGAGTAGGCAGGCAATGGCTAAGGGGACTGGGAAGCAGGGAGGCAAGAAGGCTAAGGGAACTGAGGAGTAAGGGGGCAACAGGGCTAAGGGGACTGGGGAGTAGGGAAGCAAGAGATTTAAGGGGACTGGGGAGCAGGGTAAGAGATGGACGAGGGGAACAGAGGAGTAAGGAGATATGGGGCATAAGAAGTAAGGAAAGTACAGGACAGGTACCCAGAGGGATGTGGCGGTGGGTAGATGGAAATGGTCATGGAGGCCAAAGAGCAAAGACAAGGAGGCTGATGGGCACTTCGACATAACGGGAGCGGGGAGCGGGGGAATGGGAGGGAAAGGAGGAAGAGAAGGAGTGGGGAATAAAGAGCAAGAGAGAAATACACCCAGAAGAATTGGAGTGCAAGGGGACAGAGCGCTGGGGAATAAGGAAGACTAAGGGGGAAATAGGGGGGGAATAAGGGGGGAAATAAGGGGGGGAATAAGAGGGGGAATAAGAGGGGGAATAAAGGGGGAATAAGGAGGGACAGAAGGGCGTGGTAACAATGAGTTATCTGTAGTTCATTCGATCGACAAAAAGAGTTCCCAAGACTAGAAAAGAACTGACAAACTTATTGTAAAATCACTGTAAACTGACCTGCTGACGGGAGAAAGGAGCCTTGATCACTGCCCTGTACCACATGTCATCCTCGACATGATAGACCGCACAGAAAACGCCCGGTCTGATATCTCTGAGAGGAGTTCGGCTTCTACCCTGTCAAGTGAATGCAAAACTTTTAAATACTCCAATAGATTATCCGCTCAAAAACATGCTTAAAAAGATAAAACCTATTTAAGCTCTTTCAAAAAATATGATCCTCATTTATCTTCAAGAAATTTTGTTGCAATTATATTTTGATGTGAGTGCATCACAATTCCTATTTTATTCATTTTCGCACCAATCTCATGTCAAGAATTCCATTCCCTTTCCTCAGTTTCTAAGACTTCATCGCTTATGTAGCGATGACTCTGATTTTTTCCATACCTGAGAGTCAATGTGCCAGTTTTTCGAAAAACGTGGTTACACTGTTTCTGTCGATCAAGCGGGTCACCACCGCGCTCAACTTATTGATCGACAGTCAGCACTAAAAACGTCACAGAAGGAGAATTCCAACCGCATTCCATTCACTCTCACATTTAACCCTCACAACCACTCAGTTAAATCCGTTACTCTTAAAAACTTTAAATTACTTCAAAACGATCCAGACTGGTACTATCTTTTCGCAGCCTCCACTTATTTCATTCAAACGTGACAAAAACATAGGAAATTTTTTGTCAGAAGTTCATTTCAAACTAATGACCGACCCGGCACTTTTAAATGGGCTCACACACGATGCAAAACTTGTACTTCCATTCACAACGCTGAGAAAATATCGGGACCCAAACGATCCATTAAGATCACTGAT